AGTCAACCAAGCCCCTCAATGCTTGAAGAGAGAGGCCTGCAAAATCGAAGCAGACCATTAAAAAACGCTTTTAGATCCTGGTAGTATCCACTACCATCTCTTATCAGCAAATTCGGTGAACTGTATAAAATGGCAGCGCCACCAACGGTAAGCAATAATTTTTCTGCGTTGTTTTCTTCTTTGTGCAAAAAAGTAGGGGGTTCTCTAATCCAAGGCTTTGTTTCTGAATTTTACAATGCATCAGAAACTCTTCCTTAAATTGGCAAGAGAAACACCCTAACTGCTGTTATCCTTGTTATCTCCACACAGGCAAGAATTTGCCGTCTAATCCGAAAAGTTAACAAATCCTGTTGATTCCGCTCTTGAGAGTCGAGAAAAACAACTTTAAGAGCCAATCTGGTCCATTGGAGACCACCTATGCGACAGAGATCCACCAGGCGAACGTGTACGCAGGGCAAAGTGTTTTTGTAGGGACAGCGTTTGTCTTCTATTCACATTCACAGAATATGTCGCTCCTGAAAGCTGTTGTATTACTGAGTAGATTTACTCCTGGCAAACAAACTAATGCCTTTTGCCAGGGTCTTAATTCACGCCCTAGGCTCTTATCCCGCGCCGAGCCTTGTTGTCGGGTTGCTACCATCTTTACCACAGGTACTCTCGACCTGGGAGAGGCAGGCCGAGAGATACGGGCGACGTTGCCCAACAACAAAAGGGCCCTAGCATAATACGCTCTGTCTTGACAGACAGCCCCAAATTGTTTACCGTGCCCAATGTTGCAATTGTCGCCGGCGAATCAGACGCTGAGAACAGCCGGATCAAAAGAGAGCGACCTGCTGGCGCGATAAAGCGGAAAATGAAGACATGATATTAGGTGATGTACGCGGTTTGCCTCTGTTGACTTTGTGCAACACGGTTGACATGACTCGATTCTGGCAATCTGATCGGAGTAGAAAGACGAGTCTGTGGCGCATTGTTAGGCTTTATTCCAAATGCCGCTTTTCTACAAGGAAAACATCCGTTTTTAACAAGAACAGATTATTGTATACCCGAGTAGATTTATCCTTGGGTACGGTCGAGTTGCGGCATCAGCAGAACCTTACTGCATACTCGTTTAATGATGCACTGATTTGGTTGTATTATTCCCCTAATCCTTACAGAAGTTTGCTTTGAGCAAAGGCATCGGATTCAATCCGACGATCGCATGGGCGAGGGTAACAGTGGGAACCACACCGCAGCCAGTCCTGGAGACCCGCGCTGGTACATGGATCTGAACAGTGGCCAGGGAAGTCCTGAATCCTCTAATTTTAGTCTGGCTTTGTACACACCCTGGGTAGTCAGGGTTAACAGAATACATCTTTCAAAAGGGTCATCTGTGGAAAAAAATTTATTGTTGTAAACCTCCTTTCAATCTCGCACTGATTTTCATTTCGGCCTTATCCAAAAACTATAGAAACACCCTAAAAATTGCCATCTTCAGCACTTTTAAGGATTTACTTGATGGAAGAAAATATAGTGATGAAAAATGTAGTCCACGGAAATGTGCATGACCCTAACAGTACAGATAGCAAAAGGTAATCATTTTTTTCAAAGATGCAACTCGATATATCGTCTCTCTTTTCACAACGTGATAATGCACTAAAGGTCACTCTGCGTGAATTGTGGTCTCCTGGTCGCTGTTAGTTCAGGGAATTCGAAGGCAGCCAGAGGCCAACCTAACCAAGTCTCTTCTACCAACCCCTATAGGTGTACACACGAGCTACACACAAAGTGCGGGTTTTTTTGTCTTTTGCATTATCCTTTATCGTATTACGCGTTGTCTTCATATGGGAATGGAGCAATGGACCTTTCTACCAAAACAAAATAATGATAATAATATTTTCCCAACTGTGGCCCATCAAAAATATTCAGGGGTTACAGCTACGAAAATTGCGGTCATTTTTCTCGCAAGATTTTTCGGGATTTTATGTGTTTTTTCTACGAATACTCCCTACCGTCACTAGAGTTTTTAGTTCTGCATTAGAGAGCTTTTAATTGCTTAAAAAGTACTCCAAAATGTAACGACAAAAAGGTCAATTCCTTCCCTCATTTCGTGTAACGGGCACAGAACAATCGAAAAAGGAGGATGAAGTTGAGGGCGCACTTTGCATTTGTAGATACAACTATCTGCGGTTTGAGGCCAGTAAAAGAGGCCCGAAATGGATTACATAGACTAAATTCTCTGTCTGCAAGCTTCAAATTCTTTCCTTTCGGAACATTTTGCGGCCAATCAACAGGAGAATTTGTGAAAGGTAAGGATGGAAATCGGCAAAGAGTCTTTAAGCTTGTACTTGTGGTGAAATTTGGACAAACGGAACACTCCAAATAGCTCTAGTTGGCAATGACGTCAAGGTATCAACTTTCAAAATGGAATGGGCTTCACAACTGTTTTTTTTCTTTGATCATCTTTTTCACAGCAATATCTCCAAAGTCCACTAATTCACCAAAACTGAACAGAAAATGAAATAAACTTGCACATATTATGTGTCTCAAAAGCCACGGAAAGTTGTGTTAATTTTCCCTGATTGTTTTGAAGTGGGAGTATTTGGTCGTTCATACTAGTCTTGCAACCCTAGAAATAAAATTTAAAACCATCGTTATGGCCGGCTCAACTTTCCGAACAGTGAGAGTGTTTGCATTAGAATTAAGTAGCTCTGCGTTCTTTCCTCGATTTCCATTCCTGGTGACTCTATAAATAGTCACCATAATCGAAGCTCCCACAACATATTTCACACTAGTCTTGAACAATCAAAATTTAAAACTCCCATTCAATACTACCGCAGCACTTGTTTTCATTACGGCTGTAAATGTGTAACGTTAAAACTAAATGCTACCCAAAGCATTTTTCTATTCTGAAATTGGAAATCGCTCTCTGAGAATTCCAATTCAGCTGCGAGGGCAGGTTGAGGGGACTTGATGAAAAGGTGTGCGTGTTTTTAAAATATCGAGTTTCTTGTCGGAGCCAGTGGGGGCGCTGTTTAGAAACGTGCAAATGGTACAATTTGACAACGGGAGTCGAATCAACCATGAGCAATTTCCAGCCACAAAAACAAATGTGATTAGCCGTTGTTATTCCACTGACTCTGATCAAATGCACAGAGACTTTTGTTTCATTTCTTTTGCGGACATTCCTTTGTTGTCATGTAATCAAGAAAAGTCTCAAGTCTCTTCACCCACTTGAAACTAGCCAATCGAGTTGGTTGCATCATAGAGGAATGAAATCGGTAATTGTCCTCAGCCACTAATAAATGACAGCTTGGTGATGACTAGTCTTGAAGGACGCTACTATTTACATAGGATGGTTATTCATCGCTGAAAGATATCACAGTATGACTAAAAATGGATGAATGGGCGTTAAACAAGGCTACTGAAAGCTTGCACTAAAAGAAACCCACACCACTGAAAGCTGGTGCCCCCATCAGATGCTGGTGCCCCCTTGTTCCCCCATTAGTAAAATCCTAGCTACGCCACTGCTGTGTGATAAATCGCCATTAAAGTTCACGAACTGTGCTATAGGTGTACTAGAACTTATCGCCCTAAGATTTGTCAACAGTCTTATAAAAACAGCAGCGTCTGGCACAAAGACTACAGGGTGACGTAACCTTGATCACGTCTATGGCAGAAAATAGGTGGAATGCACGTTCAAAGGTAAAGTCTAGAAGGCGGTTCTCGATATCACACAGACATTTGAAAAGATCATTTCCAGAATGAGGTTAAGTCAGACCCGATTATTTTCAACTGTTTACTGGACCAAAGTTCACCCAGACTTGATTGTATCCCTTATCGTTTTTATCATATTATGACATGGTATGACTTGGTTTTGAAAGTTCATGACGTACACTGCATTCTTGTTTGATGGATAAAGAAACAACAAGATTTAGTTTAAATTATCCATGTAAAACTTGTGTCAGGCTGGCTTGAAAATTGGCAGGTACTTGCAAATTTTTCTTTCACAAGAGAATAAAGATGCTCAGGGGAATAGTGTACGAATATAATAAATAATCATGAGTGCGATGGTAAGACTAATTTCATGAGGTGACAGACAAAATGCTCCATTTCACGAGGCGAAGCTGAGTGGGATAGGACATTTCGTCTGTCACCGAATCAAATAATCTTACCATTGCACGAATGTGAAACATTCATTATTTGCTAATAACAATATCTCTAATGATCATTTCCTTTTTTTTTGTTTGGAGAACAAACGATCCTCGCTTATTAACGTCCACCATTTCGCGAAATAGATTTGTGTCAGAAGAACGGCCACCACATACGCGTATTGCTAGTAAATTGCAATGTTAGACTGGTTCCCACTCCTACATTATTTTCCTCTTTCTTACTGCGAATAAAATAATCATATGTTAATTAAATTGCTAATTGAAACTTAATTAATCACTCAATATCGGCAACGTCTCCTGCAAATTCATTGAAATAGTCGACGAAATTCTTATTGTTCCTCTCAATAAACGACATACACTGTTACATGGATCTGAAGAGCAGATATTCAATGCAAGCTGTTGAGTCATCGATCTACATTTGATCAGAAATCGAACAGCGAGAAATTAAAATATAACAACTGAAAACTTGTTTGTGTCATCGGTTCATACTCCCTTCTCATATCATGCCAGTGTTGTGCATTATTTAGACTGGCTTATCCAAGTACTGAGTCCAAAAGCAAACTTGGGATTTTTTTTCTCAGAATGGATTCCCCTGCTGGCTACGCCAATGTCATGTGGAAAAATTATCATAGCAAAAGAAAGAATTCTTTGTTTTCGCGAAACTTCTGAAGTCGATAGTTATAAGCCATCATCATTGGGCTGAGGTTCAAAGTTCAATGTCTGGCTTTGAATATATCACCGAACAACGTTTGATACGACTAGCTTAGAGTTGAACTTGAGGTTATAAAATGTGGTTCGTGTCCTGACGCTAAATAACGCCATTAACTTGTTACTCTACACAAGATAAAGTACAAGCGAAATAACTAATAACTGTTTATTGTCATTGAATGCAGTAGTTTTTAATTTTGCAAAAATTACCGGCACATCGTGTAATGTTTATTCCGACAAGTGGCAAGATCAGATTTACTATGTTCTCGGCAAAAAAGTCATAAATGGTGTCCGTTGGTATCAGTTAAGAGGAAAACACACACACAAGCATTGTTGTCAGCCACAAAACAACAAAAATTACAAAGAATAAGAATAAAAGTTTTGGATTTCCCACCCCTCTAAAAAACTTGGTTCTTAATCTGCCTTAGCTATAAATCTGAATATAACACTTTCTAAAAAACAAAAGGGGGGTAAAATCTGGCATTTAATATGCATGCAGATTTATAAAACACGCTACACAAAGATTTTTTTATTACAACATATATTATCATTTTTGTACATTGCAAGCAGGTGCCATACGTTGCTTAAAGATAAGACAATCCACCATGTCTTTTAAAAAGTTGAACATTTTAACAGAGGAACGAGTGTAAAGATGCTGTACAAGCATAATTCAAAAACATGTAACTCATTATGCAATGTCAATAGCCAATAACATGAGACAAAAAACCTGTGTTTGCACAGCACGTTTTAGGTACATTTGCAAAGTAACTTATTTGGGTTCTCTGAGCATTTGTATTTCCTTCAGCACCGGACATCACATCACCTGCCACTGAATTATACAGTATTCATGGCTTTCTAGCTACACAACACTGCCAGCTACCTCTGGCGTTTACCATGCTACGGACAGCTCCTTCCATGAGTACATAATAACCCAAATTCCGAGTTTTACACAAAAATAGAATCAAGAGAAACCAAAACAAATTCAACAGTTGCCCACAATCAGGTTCGCGTGTAGCTCCACTATTTCCCAAGCAATGATAAACTTCGACTAGCCCTTTAACCTTCATTCCGTTGTAGAATTTACTTTCCCTCAACAACAAAATAGAACTCACCGAAAAATTATCAATTGTTATCATTTAGATCTCTGTTATGGGTTACAAGTTGCTTTGTATTGATATGATGCAAACGAAGGGAATATGGTCGCGTTGCTTCACGTGCTGATTCTCGCATTGATTCCCTTGAAATACGAAGTCATAATTGTGCGAATGATGTTATCACGTCGGTATTCTGTAAAAACAGGTTGTTTCTCAACGCGTAGAATGTACCAATGTATAAAACCCCAAACGGAGGATTTTATCCCAAATGTATCAAACCAATGATTCATGACTTTGTATACTCTTCTTCATAGAAGTGATCACGTCAATTGATTATTTCTGACGAAGTTTTTTAGTGCGACGTAAAGGAAAACTACCGAAATGAGACGCGCAAGCTCAACACCTGCAAAGTTTACACCGCCAGCAAAGGTTTCATGCATGCACTCCGACATTGAAAATATACTTAGGACGCGGTCGGATCTACAGAAACCATACTATGCCGAATGGAAGGAACGATCCCGTTCCTAAATGTAACATCCAGTAGCTCTTGAGCATCTTTGATGTCGGGGTACTGGTGCATCGCCCAGGTCAGGTACACCTGGAAATCGGCCCAGCGCACCCGGTCGTTCTCCTCCAGGTCTAAGGCGTGGAGCGTCCACTTTGTATCGAGGCACCGGTCGAAGCTGGGGAAGTACGGGGCCATGAAGCCGCTGTAGAATGACTCCAGCTCCAGTGCGTCACCGTTACCGTTGACCTCGTCCGCTACAAGCCACGTGTCCCACATCTTGCGGACTTGCGAGATCAGGTTCACGGCGTGCGGCTTGCCCAGCTCCATCTTGTGGATGACTTCTTTCATTTTCTTGGTGAGTGAGCCACCAGCCTTCTTGAAGAGAAGTGCCACGCCAACGGTGCTCATGTACTCTTCTTTCCTGTCAAGGAACAGCGAAAAATCTCTTTCCTCTTTTTTAATGGATCCGGCTGAGAAAAACGGTTTATCTTCGTTTTGACTCTTCCTTTTGTGTTATTGTGTTGGTCGAGGCTGTAATTGAAAGCCATGTGCATGCTATCTTTAATTGGGAAAGAAAGTTATCAGTCTCATGTTCACATCAATTCGTTTCATGGCTCCATTACCACTATGCACAACTTTGGAGATCTGTAAATCGAAGTAATCAAATTGAATTGGTTGAGCTGTAGAATACAACACAAATCAACGATACTTTTATCACACATTTTGAAAATATTATGATGGAAGTGAATGTATTAACTTGAGTTGTTTGAAAGCACTCGATATCATTTTGTCAAAGAATTTATGTCACAGAAGAAACCCTTACTTTATGACGTGTTGTTAGATCACTTTGGATTCAAATGCTCATATAGATAAACAGCTCCCACTGTTGGTTCTTAGAAAAAAAGAAAAAAATGCTTTGCAATGTTTACAAGCTTAGCAGAAACCGCCCATGACCTACGCACGTGACGTGGGCATTTCTTAATTTTGTCCTCTAGCTACAGCTAGTGAAACGCCTTGGTCTCTAAATCTATAATGGGTGCGTTCGATACCTATACACGGGGCAAACCTGACCTGGGGATGACTGTGTGTGCTGTGTCAAACAAGCGAGGCGGTGAGAGCGAGGTTAAACCCGAGCTGACCACTTGGATGCTAATCAAGCGCACCCAGCGAAAGTGTGTACGTTACCGGTTGTGACGCAGGTCTTCCTCCATAACCATCCTCATTCGGTTGGCTTGCTTCACGGTAAACTGCGGATCCTCACCGAACAGCTCCACCAAGTGCGTACAGATCATCTCCTCGGACGCCATAGTGGAGATGCGCACGGGGGCGCGCTCGCAGAAGAAATCGGCCAGGTCGAACTCCTCCTTCTTCAGGTCGAAGACGTGGTCCAGGGCCTGCTCACCGTAGACGGGGGTCTTGGAGTAGGGATCAAAGCCCGTGGTGATCTTGGTCACATTGATGGCGGCCCGCCGCAGGTAAGTCGAGTTAAACGCCTGGGTAATTTTCTTATTACCCAGCCGCACCAGGTTCATCAGGGTCACGCATGCCGAGGCGCTCCCTAGGCCTGCACTCTCGAAGCAGACGCTCCCCCATATACCGTCCGCACCACCGATAAGACTCTGCAGTTAGAGTTGAAGTAATTACTGAGCGATAGCTGTTTAACCTTGACGTATTTTGGTTAATTGATCGGAGTTTAATATAGGGTCTAAGAAACGGAATCTTTTACTGTTTGATTTAAGGGTTGCTGCAATCAATTTGTTTTAATACAAACCTTCAAAATGCACCTTTACGTCTCAGTCAATTAACCTAATCGTTTTGAACTGTTGTTTCACTTTTTCAAAGGGTATGCTACTGCCTTTTGAGTTTTTATGCCAATGAGTATTTTCATATTCATTAGCAAAACTGTGATGTCATCCGAGGAAGAAAACCTCAATGTTACATCTGTGTACAAAAAAGTATTGCGTTTTCTATTTACATCATGCTGGATCATTTTTCTCTTCTTTGCTTATTAAGCAAGATTTAATCCCTTTCTCAGAATACATTTGATAAGTGTTGGGATGTTCTGGATAACTCTGACCTGGATTTGGGAAGCGTAGCAGAAGCCAAACTTCTCATGCACGTGAACCAAGAGGTGTCCTTGCCAGTTGTTGGCGTCCATGATCTGCCGGATATACTTGGCCCACAGGCCGCACTCCTCCGGCATGCACAGCCCCTTGTACTCTTCGAAGAGGATGCCGATGGGTCGCAAGGTGGCCGGCAACCGGGCCAGGAAGTCCACCGCCCTAAACACCCGATGCGCGCTGTCGGGCATGGCGTCCGGCAGGTCGCGCAGGTTGACCAGGACCCGGGTCTCCGGATGCAGGTGCTCGTGCGCCCACACGATCCACTTCTCCAGCAGAGCAAGCAGGTCTTCAATGGGACAGTGGAGGAGGTTGTAGGCTCCCTCTGCCAGATTGACCTCGAGGAGGGGATTCCACAGACCCAGCTCCTTCATCCTCCGCAAGCCGACCGGAACTGTTTCTTTATCGAGAACTCCTTCGCGGCTGCCTGAAGAAATGATCATTGGGAGCAGATATGGTTCCCAATTTAACTAAGACCCTTGATTAGAAGTTTTATTGAAGACTAAAATACTTTAGACCTTATTGTTTTCAATAATGATCGAATATTTGAAAGTAACGGCTTAAGCGTGCAAGAAATCAACACCATTTCTGAATGTAAGCTATACAGAAATCAAGATACTTGACTAAAATGAAATACATGTATTGAAAATGATCCGTTTGAACGTGAAGCAAAGTAACTTTTGAAAATGTGGTGACTCTTACTTCTGGAATAAGTTGGGGGGGGGGATGAATCATTAGTTTGAAAAGTGGGCGCTTTAAACCCTTCTAGATTTCTGAGTATTCTCTGTGGTTCTCTGAAGTGAGTGTAGTCATCGTGGGTGCATCGTTGTAATTTACAACAGTTTATTTACAACTATGTAACCTGGGCAGCGTGTACCTGCAGCGCCCTCTACAATCCTGTACAAAAGTTGGAACAACTTCTGGAAAGCGCGGTGAAAAGATCCCCCTCTCCCCATTTAATGATGTGGTCCTTTACTGGACCAAGACTAAGCCCAGTTTACCCAATGAAAAACAACACTGACAGGGGGCGAGGAGGAGGCATGTTCCAACGAGATTGGTCCAGGATTGTAGTTTCGCGGGAATCGGGGTAAAGTTCGGGCAGACTGTACTTGACACGGGTTTCTTGTTCTTGCCCTCGAACGGTGGGAACACGACGTAAGAACACTGTTCTCGGAAC